ATTTTATTACAATTGACAGTAATAATGGACATATGTCAATATTAGTCGATAAAATAGTCTAGTGTTTTGTTTTGTAAATGTAATGTTAATTGTTAGTTAATCTGTTTTTTATTCATTGGCAATGTAAAAATATTTTGTTTCTGTCTATAAGTAAATGTATTCACATCAAAAATATATAAATGACTCGAGGGGGATTATATAGCATGCAATTTACATAAATAATCACTGTAATACTTTATTTCTATCGCTTGTCCTTGATAGAATTTCTTGTTTTTTCTATTGATGAAAGAATAATCGATTATTTCTTTCCGCGATAGAAAGAAAGAAAGAAAATCATATGTAGTTAACTTTGTTTTAGATAGAAAGAAACAAAAAAAAAAGAATATGGCTCAGTTACAAGTTACTGTTGTTGAAGCGAAAAATTTAACAAAAAAAGATACACTTAGTCAAAATGATCCGTTTGTTGAAATTTATCTTGATAATAAACATTTAAAACAAAAAACAAAAACAAAACAAAATTCGAAAACACCACAATGGAATCAAACATTTGTTTTGTATGTTAAATATAATTTTTGTTTTCTTTGAAAATATTCTTTTGTTTAGTAATCATTTAACTGGACAAGATATTCTTAATGTTGATGTTTATGATGAAGATTCAGTTAAAGATGAAAAAATAGGTTCAATTCAAATTAATTTACATGATTTATATAGAAAAGGTTTTATTAGAATAATAATCGAAATCAAAGATGGATGTTTTAGTTTCTTTTTAGGTCATATTGATGAATGGTTTGAACTTGTAGGAAAAAATAATTCAACTTCTGATGGACAAATTCATCTTATACTTGATTATGAAAGACTTCGAATATAATATTGGATTCTTAAAATAAAATAAAGCTTCTGCTCTAGGACAGTTTATGTTTTTCAAAACCGATCTGAAACTAGATATGAAATATCGTCATGAGTATTTAAATGCAAAGATGTTTTTTATTTCATAATTTTGAAAGGACAAATTTTATCGAGATTTTAATATCATTGTTAATAATGAGCAAAATTGTATCGTTTTCTGAATTTAGAAAAAAAAACGTTTTTCTTGATTAGATAGTAATATTTATAAATTTTATATATGACTGGAATATTAATAGGATATAAATATGATAATGACAATTGTGTCAATTGATGCTGAAATTGGAAAAAAGATTAAGAGATATTTATAAACTTGTTGTCTCACTTAGAGAAAACTCAATATTGAACTAAATTTGAAACAATTTCTTGCTGTCTTTTCGCCAATGGAACATTCGTCATTGGCGAAATTTCAGGCGCCCCATGGCGTAAATACAGTGGATTTTCGCCAGCTGTAATAACATAAGATTAGTATAGAATACATGTGAAAAATTAAGCTAATATTATTAGAATAAGCAAACCATAGTTTACATTCCTTAATATAGTTACTAGGAGCTATTTTTACATATGTGTAATTTCATAATGACTCTGGCGAAGTTCGTGAATCTCCGCTTATCTATATTATTTATATCAGTGTCTATGGTAATTGTAATATCTTAAAGTATCTATTACTGTGTATCAATCATTTATATAACAAGATGATGGTTAAAAATAGTTCTCAATACATTTTATTATAATCTTCGATATCATGTATTCTATAAATGAACGTTATAAAATGAAAAAGAAAGATTTCAATAAACCTTTCAAATAGAATCAATAAAAATCAGAGTTTAATTCTAATATTATATTTTGCTTTCATTAAATTTTCAAAATTAAAATATGCAGATACCATTACATATACACAATGAATAAATATATTTACCTAAGATCCATCGACTAAATAAACATTGAGTGTTGTACTAGACTTTTCCTATGCATATACGAAATTTTCATTGATGAAAATAAAAACTAATAAAAACATATTATCTGTATACATTGTGTTATTCCTTATCATAGCACATTCGATTATTTCATCAGAATGAATATGTAAATAATCTTCTTTTTTTATACGAATTTATAAATATACAATTACAAAAGTACAAGAATGGTGAACAAAACGTTTCGTTTTTTTTTCTAAATCTAAAGATGTAAAAAAAGATTGTTATGCGTTCTTATAAATAGAATAAAAAGAGGCGAGAGGACAAATATCTATTGTCATGATTAATTCAGCATTTATGCTTACAAAAGGTAACACAGCACTCTTATCTATTTCTTTTTCATTTCATATCTCAACTGAATCAAACGCTTGTTACACGTATCTTCATTTCTATTCCGGTGATAATAATGGTGAGTAGATGAATAGTCTAAAATTTAGAATTATTCTCATTGTTTCTTTTTTGTTATATTTAAAATATTCGATTTAATTATTTAGGCAACCACGCCTCCTGCAAATATAGAAAAAAGAGAATTTTTATTTAAAGTTCTTGTTATTGGCGAATTAGCTACTGGAAAAACTGCACTCGTCAAACGTTATGTTCATAATTTCTTCTCCGAACATTATCGAGCAACCGTATTGTTTTGAACAATGAATTATATATTTTTTTAATATTTTTTCATTTTTAATTCATAGATCGGTGTTGATTTTGCTTTAAAAATTATGAAATATGATGATGATACAGTTATTCGTCTTCAACTTTGGGTATGTTCGTTTATTTTCATTTTTTTTGATGAATAAAATAGAAATTATTTTATAGGATATTGCCGGTCAAGAACGATTTGGTAATATGACTCGAGTATATTATAAAGAAGCTGTGGGTTGTTTTATTGTTTTTGATGTTACACGTGGATCAACTTTTGAAGCAGTTACTAAATGGAAAACAGATTTAGATAATAAAGTTCAATTACCAGATGGTAGTCCTGTGCCATGTGTCCTACTTGCTAATAAAGTAAGTTTTCTATTAAAATTAAATTTTATTAAATAATACATAAATTTACTATTTTGTTTTAGTGTGATTTGGTTAAAGATGGTTTAGTTGAGAATGCTCAACAAATGGATCAATATTGTGAAGAAACAGGTTTTGCTAAATGGTTCCCAACATCAGCAAAAGAGAATATTAATATTGAAACATCTGCTCGATTTCTTATTAGTGAAGTAAAGTTTTTGTTTTGAATTTTATTTTATTTTATTTTCATATTCATCTTTTATTTTAAGATTATGAAACATACTGAACAAATACAACCACGTGCACCATCTAATTATGCTCGTAGTAATACACTTACTGTCGTTGATAAACCAGATAAAAAAGAAAATACTGGACGTAAATGTTGTGGTGGTGGTGGTGGTGCCGCTGATTCAAATGATAGCAAAAGTTGATTAAAATTATTCTAAACATTATTACTTTATTTTGTATTGTGTAACTACATGAAATAAAAATTCTTCATACATCAGACAAACGTGTTCTTTTTTTTTATAAAACGAAAATTTGTTTTAATATATAATTTTAGTTCTATACTAACTAACAGATGTGTAATTGTTTTCGTTAACATAAATGTTTTATTTCAATATAGACTGAAGATAATTCAAGATTTATTATTCGTTTCTCGTTGGTTATCGAAATCAAACGAGAGAATTTGATTTATTATTTATAAAAAAAAATAGGACTACTACATTTTATTTAATGATAAGCAAAAACGAAAAGAAAATTTCTTATTATACTGATAATACATATGTTTTATATATCAAATATATGTGACTGTTTAAACTAAACAGATGGTATATAGAAAAAAAACGTTTTTATGCATAGTAGGTGGTATTCATAAATATTGAACTAATAAACGATCGAAAGTAGAAAAATAGATGTCTCTGAAATTTTCTAACAGATTTGCTCTATTTTATTTTTATTGACATTGAAGATCAGATAATAAATTGAATAATCTTCTATTGATATTTTTCTTTTCTTTATCTAAATATTAAACAGTAACAATCCAACAGAGTTCAATCAATTGTAATTCATTATGTTAGTTCATATGTGAGTTTTATTATCGTATTGATGATGTAGCAATGAAAAACATTACATTCGATCATATCATATGACTTTAGATTTCTATTATTTCATCTGTCTATCAAAAATATTCTAATACCGATTTAAGACTAATATAGTTCGTGTTCATTTATTTTGTCTGTTAACATCGCGTGCTGATGTTTCACGTATTATATCCTGCTGTGCCATGCAAATGTACTCATCATCCATGAAAGTCACTTTATTAGTTCGAAGACGCATGTATATATATTCTTGTTCTAATTAAACTAATTATATTTCGAAGCAAACATGCAAAAAAGAAAAGAATATTCCAAACTATGCAAGTTTTCATTTTATTGTCATAAATATATATAAGTAATTAGTTCCGATTTACGAAAAAAGAATAACAAAAAAAAAATGTTTTAGGAATATTATGATGATAAAATACAATTTTCTAATTCGTTGAAATTGCTTGGTGATGATAGATATAATTTATCATCTCGGGATAATACACTACTTCGACGATATTTTGCACGAGCATTTTGAAACCAAACTTGTAGAACACGTTTAGGTAAATCTGTTTTTTCCGAAAGATTTTTTAAATCTTTTGCATCTAATTATAACATTATTATTATTAAGAAAACAAACAAAAGAAAAATATAAACCTGGATTATGATTTAAATTAAAATATGATCTCATAAAACGTAATTGATTATGTTTAAAACTTGTTCGAAGACGTTTTTGTTTGCTATGATGAGATTTATTATTATTTGTTTCAATAAAATAAGATGAAGAAATTAATGTTGGCGAAAGAATTTCATATTCTTCATCATTATTTAATTTACGTATTTCATTGGGTGATGTATTATAACCTGAATCATCATGTATTATACAAGAATTTTGTTCGAAAAAATGATTTCGACAATAAATAGAATTTTCTCTTAGACCAAATTCATCACCTTAAAGATAATTAGTTTTAATTTAATATAATAAAAAAGCTAAAGAATTTTACCTGGATGAAGAAGTATATGACAAATATTACATGTAAAACATTCTAAATGAAATATGAATTGTTCGGCACGAAGAATAATTTCATCTTGTTGAATAGTTCGATTACATCGTGTACAAATATGTGAACAATATTTTCTAGAAAGCAAAAAATAGATTTTAATAATCCAATGAATTGATAGAACATACTTATTATAATCATTTTTACAAACAATTTGTCCATCTTTAGCAAAACATGTTTGTTCATGTTCAAGTAAAATTCCACAATCAGAACATTTAAGACAAGATAAATGCCAACTATGATTAACAACCATTAAATAAAATGGATCATTGATTATTGTACCACAATGAAAACATATTCTATCTAATGTTGGCATTCTAAACTAGAAAAGAAATTGAAACTAATATGAATAGAGAAATGTGTAAAGTTTTTTTTCTGTTAATGCTTTATCAATAAGTATGATTGTTGCTCTGACAAATGTCAAACAAAAACGACAATTGATAATGATCGTTGGTCACCGGTTGCTATTTGACGTCAACTTTACTTGTATCTGAACATTATGATAATTTATCTTTTTCCTTTTTTTCAAGAAAA